GAGGTTAAATAATTTGCCTGTTATTTCAAAGCTGGTTAGTGCTATAGCTGGGAATTGAGCCCATACTGTTTGATCTCAAAGCCAGTCCTTTCTCCAGTGTACCAGCCACAGAATTTCCACCTCAGTCACCAAGGTTAGGAATGGTGTTTATTCCCCAATGTGGCAGTCATCACAGTCTGAAGAAAAGGAATGGTAAGTTGCCTAAGAGACAAGATCATCTAATTGGAGTCTGGTGCTACAAACTGGAGTTTCTAATTATTGATTTATTAATAGGACTATGGGGTTAATATAGGTTTCCTTAAAAAGTTTTGATACCAATATTTCAGTGAGGAAATGTTTGACTAAATTGACTAAATCCCCTCAAAATCCCCTCATTTTGACACCCAGTTAAACACTGGCAATGTTTATTTGATGGCTTTGGTATAAAGGAAGGAACACTGGAAACATGAGCTCCTCTCCCACGGCTGCTACTTTATTATTCAGGTAACTTCAATTTCTTGGGCCTCATTTTCCCCATCTATGGAATGAGGAAATTGTACGAGATAATTCCCCTAGAGCCCTTGTGTCTAAAGTTGTTTTTCCATGATATAAAATAATGATCACTCTCAATGTCCTCTTGAGCCATGGGTGTTTTCTGCTCCCCAGGGGACTCCAGATGGTATACTACGTGCTTGAATGCAATACCCTTAAGTAGGATTTTTTTTTAAGTGTTATGGAAAACAAATTATGTGGTTACCCAAAATGCTGAACCTGGACACTCTGTTCTTCGGTGAATGTCAGTAACACCATCCTCCCCATCCCACATCTTTGAGGGTGGAGACCCACAGATAGTTAACTCCTTGGCAATGAGTAAGTAACTTTTTGCCCTTACCTCTCAAAAAAAAAAATTATAAGAATTTCATCCTTGATTCTATATTTTTTCTTAATTGGAGGTGGAATTCAATTAAAACTTAACTATTTTCAAGTGAACAGTTCAGTGGCCTTTAGTACATTCACAGCGCTGTGCATCGTGAATGTTGTTGTGTGCCACCTCTGTCTTGTTCTGAACCCTTTCCATTAAACAGTTTCCTCCAATTACCCTCTACCCCCAGCCCCTAGCAACCACCAACCTGCATTGTCTCTGTGGATTTATCTATTGTGGATGTTTCATATGAATAGAATCGTATAATATGTGACCTTCTGTGTCTGGCTTCTTTCACTTAGCATGTTTTTGAAGTTCATGCATATTATAGAATGTGTCAGTACTTCATTCCTTTTTATAGTTGAGTAATATTTTGTTGTGTGCATACACTATAAATTTTTATCTATTTATCTGTCGATGGGAATTTAGGCTGTTTCCCCCTTTTGGCTATTGTGAGTAGCAATGAAAGTTAGTGTTGTTTGTTTTAGTACCTGTTTTCAATTTGGGGGGTATTTACCCAGGGGTAGAAATGCTAGGTCATGTGGTAATTCTTTAATTTTTTGAAGAACCACCAAACTGTTTTCCACAGCAGCTGAACCATTTTACATTCCCACCAGCAATCTAACAGGGTTCTAACTTCTCCAGTCTTGCTCTTACTTATTTTCCATTTTTAAATATATATATTACAGCTCATCCTTGATCCTGAATCCTGATATCTACCTACTTAAATTTGTTGATCCCCTTTTCGGTAATTCCCTCTCATTAGTCTTGTAATTAAACCAAATAACCGCTTCTCAGATTATTTCTGCTCTCTTACTGAAGCCGTCCTCCTCTCCAACTTTATAGTTCTTAAGGAAGAGTCTGTATCAACGTAAGCTATTTTCCTTGCCTCCAGCCCACAAAAATATCAAATAACAATTTCCTGATTAGCTGAAGCTCCATGTAAACATAAGTAGTACCAGTCATAACCCTTGACACAATGTGCCTGCCTACTTTTTGGTAGTTTTTTTTTTTTTTTTTTTTTTTTTTTGGCTGGCTGGCTGGCAAGAGGATCTGATACCTTAACCTTGGTGTTAAGACACTGTTCTCTAACCAACTGAGCTATCTGGCCAGCCTGTCTGCCCAATTTTGAAGGTGGAGGTAGGATGGTGGTGGTTGATAAGAGTACGGACTGACCCATAATATTTCTCAAGGGTGGAGACCGAGTCTAATTCATGTTTTACCCCTGTAAGTCCTAGAACAGTTATGTTAAGTTTCCAGGGATCTTTAGTTATAAGACTGTAAGGGTGACGATGGTACAGTTTTTTCCCTCTAATAATTCTTTCCTATACTCTGAAATTTAAAACTCTAGAATAAATTCAGTTTGTCTCAATATTATGCAATCAAGATGTTAACTAGAGATAAGTGGATTTTGCTGGTAGCTAAATGCCCACAGGTGCTGAAGTTACTCTGGAGTCATGTTCATGGCACACTTAAGAGAAAATTTCATAGTCCATGCTGAGCACTGTGTGGCTAAAGACGACACCCACATAGTGGAAGTACTAGAAAATTCTGCCCTAAGGTATGTGTTTTGTGGGAATATGGCTGTAGTCACCAAATCATTTTTTTTTTTTTTTTTTCTAAAAGATGACCGGTAAGGGAATCTTAACCCTTGACTTGGTGTTGTCAGCACCACGCTCTCCTAAGTGAGTGAACCGGCCATCCCTATATGGGATCCGAACCTGTGGCCTTGGTGTTATCAGCACCACACTCTCCCGAGTGAGCCACGAGGCTGGCCCAAATCATTTTCTTTATGTGGAATAAAGGCCACTTCTCGGGTATAGCTAAACAGATGTCATTATATTAAAAGTAATTGGAGATGACACAATGAAATTTTAGTGCCAAGAGAATTTTGGTATTTTTTAATAAATAAAATTGTCTTTATAGTAAAGATTATTTAAACTTGGATTTCTTTATAGGTGCCAAAGAACGTTCTGAGATCTATGAAGCATTTGAAAACATCTATCCTATTCTAAAGGGTTTTAAAAAAACCTGAGTGTATCATTCAACATCTCACAGAATAATGGTTTGAATATGTGCATAAGCCCAGCACAGAAACAGCTGGATTCTTCTACCTTTATCTGTAGATGTTCCAAAGTATATTTTTACTTATTAAAGCATGATTCTATGTAAATAGCTTTGCCTAAGAAATGAAGAAAACTTCTTATTCAAAATTACTCTTGTAAGTTATTTTAAAAACTGAACAGGTAAACTTAAGAATTTGAGGGATTTAGAGCCTTGCCAGAATGATATTGTAGTATCATTAAAAGTCAATTCTCTGTTCTTGTTAAATAGGTAATACATTAACATGTGTTCTTTGAAAATACATAGCAATACATGAAAATCTCAACAGCATAATCTAGATATTATCTGTAATGTCATCTAGCAGGATAGGAATTAATTTGTCTATATTTTGCCTTTTAAAACATTGAACAGATGATCCTGACCATTAAGTAAAAGAAGTTGAAGAATCCTATCAATACAAATGAAACATGAAAACTCTGAAACTTAAAAAAAAAAAACCTTTTGTTTGAAATGATCAGAGAAAATGATTTCTCTTAAAAATAAACTTTCAGGAACACTTCAGGTTTAGTGTAAGCTCTTTTTCAAAAAAACAATATAGGGAATTTTTGCTTACTTTTATAATCCTATATAATTAAAACATACTGGATCCCATGTGGAGACCGGTTCCCGCTCACTGGCTGAGCGCGGTGCGGGCGCAACACCGAGGGTTGTGATCCCGTTGCCGGTCCCCGGTACAGGTGCGACACCGAGGGTTGCGATGCCGTTACCGGTCAGTAAAAAAGAGACAAAAAGGAAAAAAAAAAAAAAAACATACTGGATAAAAACTAAGAGGAGCAAAGGGCTCAGGCTCAAGATTTAATTAGGTTGTAGAATCACTAGCATTTGACAGTGGAGACGTGGCGGTTAAGAGAGCTAACATGACTCGTGGCTCTTGGCCCAAAGTGGTTAGTTATTGTGTCCTTCACAAAGGTAAGGAAAAAGATTTGTGCGGAGGGAAGTTCAGTTTCTGACATGCTGAGTTGGCGGTGGCGGCGGAACATCACTTGATACCTAGCAGGCAGTTATGAATCTCTAGTTTGGAACTTGGGAGAGAAGTCCCGGCTAGAGAGAGAATTCGGGACAGTCATCAATGACTAGCCCGCTAAAATAATCCTTGAGAATCACTGATCTAAATAATTTGACCTACAAAGCCACTTTTCTCTTTTCCTTCTGTAGTTTAGAGGCATATCAAACACTAATTACTCTGAGATGATATTCCCAGCCCACACATTTCTCTGTCCCCCCTCCCCACCCTCCACCTCTGTCACCAGGAAACTTGCAGGAAAACCCTAACCATCCACCTAGTTCAAATTCTCTTAGCGCATGGCCCCAAATAGGGAAGAGACGTTGGCCTCTAATTAAGATTCGCTTTTCAGAAAGATACAACTTTGCACGTTCACTATAGTTGTTTTCGCAGGTTACTATGGGTAAAGTATTAGATTAATATTAAACGTACTTACGGCGTTAGGGAGGTACTGTAATTGTATACATTTAACATGAGAAAACAGGCACAGAGAGGTTAAAGAACTGGTCCCAAGTCACACAGCTGTAAGATGGGAGAGCCAAAACAACCTATTTCGAAGACCCAGCCCCTCACCCAACTTTGTTTGCTGTAGTTTCAGCCAAATTTAAAAGCATCCATAGCGAATTAAACTTCCTCATTTTGTTCCCATTTGGTTTTTCCAGAATCCTTAGGGCATTGTATTTCTATTTTTGCACAAGTTTGAGGCGTTAACTCGTAGCGTTGGCCTGATCCAGCGGATGATGACATTTTGTTTGGCAGACCCGCCCCTTTAATTTTCCCTGCTGCGGGACCGGCCGCCCCTCCGCAGACAGGAGAGGCGACAGCGCGGGGGACAGGCGCCTACCGCGGCGGAGGGTTCCGGGAGGCTGCGCCGGGAGCTCGCTGGGATCCCCCGCCCTCCCCACGCGGCGCCTTCCCACGCCCCTCCTCCTTGCCCAGGATGCATCTGGTTGAAAACAAAGTCCCACGTGACTGGCTGAGCTCTCAGGCCATCATGGCGTCTCCCAGTGGGAAGGAAGCCCGGGCGCCGGAGGCTCCTGGCTGCGGGCCCCGGCCACTCACCCGGGACCTGGAGGACTCCGTGGACGACGCGGAGGGGCTGTACGTGGCGGTCGAGCGCTGTCCGCTGTGCAACACCACCCGCCGACGGCTGACCTGCGCCAAGTGCGTCCAGAACGGCGATTTCGTTTACTTCGACGGCCGCGACCGGGAGAGGTACGGCGGCCGCCACGGCCCTGTTGTTTCTTTTTCGGTGTATCCTCTGGCCAGGAGACCAAAGGCTGGAACCTGGGTCCCGGAGCCCGGCGAGAGAAGGGGGAGACAAGGACAATATCTGCTCTGCGCCGGAGCTTTACTGCTGGAGGACGGGGGGTGGGGGTGGGGGCAGGTGAGAGAAGGTCGCCTTTTTCTCATCACCCATCGGAGATGAGTTTGACACCACGGTGCTCTAGGGTACTAGGGGAAAAAAGAATAGATGGTGACTATTTGGAGAAGTCTTCTCCTGTTGCTGCCATATAGTTTGATTCCTAGCTCTCTACTGTACTCCCATTCAAAAAGTTGGTTTAACCTTTATCTTCGAATGATTCATAATCATTTTGCAAAGGAGAGACCAGAAGAGAATCAGATAACTGGTTAAGAGAGAATGGGCCCCGGTAGTCTGAGCCTCAGGTGGACCTTGTTATCTGACGTGCTTACTCTAAAGTGTGAACTAAGACTAGCTGGTTGTTCCCTTTTTCCTTTCCTGCCTTCAAAGATTATTTGAATGCTGAGGGATCTGGGGACGTGTTTTGGCTTTGTTTTAAAATTCAGACTGGAAGATATAAGTCCTTAAGAGAATTGCATTTAGGAACATGTGTTGGCTGCGTTTTGAAATCTAAACAGAGAGCGACAAGCCCTTGGCTAAGATAATTGAAAAATTAACGTGATTAGCTGCGGAGTCTCCCATTCCCAAGTTTTGTTTGAACAACCTAGTGTCAGTAAGATAGATAAATTCTTAAGGTCAAAAGTTCAGGTATTAATTCATTTAGTGTAGGGATCAGAATTAAAATCCAGACAGCTTGAACCCATATACCCATGCTTAACCACTAGACAGTATAACCTATATATCTGGGAACGTTTTGAGTTCCTAGTATTCCCGTGATCATGGATGCAGTTCTTTTCTTTCTTTCTTCAGGACATTTGTATGACAAGATCTTTTTAGTTCATTGCTGTGTCTCATCCATGCACTTGATGACTTTAGAAACTGGTAATGTAATTAAGCGATAGCTTTAAAAATTAAACCAGATGTTTTATTATAAGAATATTAAGTATGAGATGGAAATATCTAATTGATCGTGTTTATCAAGGGTTCGGTTCTGCACCCTCTTCTATCTATGCTTTTTTTCTAGATCCAGTTCCATGATTTAAATACCATCTATATACTAAAGACTGCCAGACTTGTATCTCCAAATCAGATCTCTCCTAAATCCAGAAAACAGCTGCCTATTCAACATCTGTATTTAAATTCACAATAGGTATCTCCATCTTAATATGGAAAACTGAACTCCTGATTTTCCACCTTAATCTGTACCTTCTACATTCAGGCCAAAAAGCCTTTCCAGTCTTCCTTGACTCCTCCTTTAAGCCACCATACGTAATCTCATCAGCAAATCCTATCTACTCTTCAAAACCTATCCTAAATCTGACCCTTTCACCGTCACCTGGTCTGATCTACCTGCAGAGTATTGCCTATTGTATCTGCTTCCACCCTTGCATCCCTTTCATTGTAGTTTCCATGTTGCAGCCAGAGTAATGCCTCTTCTCCATTCTTCTGTTCAAATCTTCCAGAGGTTTTCTCTTTTACCTAGAGTAAAAGACAAAGTCCTTAACCAAAATTCTATATTTTCTATTCCTCCTCTGACCTAATCTATTATTTTTTCTCTTATCTGTTCTATACCACCTTGGCTGCCTTGTCAGTCCTTGAACATACAAGGCACACTCCTGCCTCAGGGGCTTTGCATTCATATTCAAATTGCCAGGAACTCTTCTCCCAGAAATCTTCGGGGGCAACCTTTTTTGTTTCCATTAGACCTCTGCTCATACATTAGAGAGACTCCTTCTGACCCTACAATTAAAATAGTAAACTCTCTCTTACTTAACTTGCTTTATTTTCTTCCATAGCACTTATCACCATCTGATGGTTTACATAGTAATTTGTCTAATTGCTCCCCACTCCAGATATAAACTCTATGGGGGGAAGACTTAATCTGTTTTGTACGCTGTTGTATTCTCACATAGTAGGAAGTCAATAAGGATTTATTGAGTGATTCTGATTAAATGAATCTACCCCTTCTTCCCAAAGTTAGTCTGTTCCTGGACCATTTCAGTATTATCCATCATGATCCACTTCTTACTAAAGCCAGGAACCTAGGAGTTATCCTAGACTTTTCCTTTTCTCTTATTCCCAGCATTCAAATCATTGGCAAGTCTAATTCAATCTGACGCCAAAATATATTTTGAATCAATCTGTAGTCCAGATGACCATTTCTCTCCTGACTACTTAGTGACTTCCTTTCTTTTATTGAGACGACTCCTGTCCATCCTTCCTCTGGCCTCCACACAGCAGTCACAGTAGAAATATAAATCAGATAATGTCACTGTTTAGCTTAAATCTTTCAATGGCTTTCTACTGCATTTAAAATAAAATCTAAGCTCCTAACCCTGGCATATAAATCCCTATATGATTTGGCTACTGCTTACCTCTCTAACTGTAAGGTTGTAAGGTTGAGCAAAAAACATGGGCTTTGGATTCAGGCTGCATTGAATTGAATGCAAGCTCCACTACTTGCTGTATGATTTTGAACAAGTTTCTTAACCTCCTGTGCTTGTTTTTTTTTATTTTGAAAATGGTGTGGTATCTAGCTTCATAGGTTTCTGGCAGCAATTACACAAAAGCATACATTTAAAATGCTTAGCCTGATGTCTAGCATATATTAAATACTCAAAAAATCAACTCATGTCATGCTTTGTCTTACTCACTGCTCCAGTCACAGGCCTTCTCTCAAATCCTCAAACACACAAAATTTTCCACAACTGGGCCTTTTCCCTTATTGTTTCATCTGCCTGGAATACTTTTTCTACTGATTGGCATCTTGTCTGTTACTGCTCAGCTTAAATGTCACTTTCTTAGTGAGGCCTTCTCTGACCTTCCTTCTGAGGTAGGTTCCCATCTTCATCTCTCCTCCCATTATTTGCTGTCACAACACTCTATTTCTTTTGTTACTAAACATGAGGTGTAATGTTTATTTAAGGAAGATATCTCCATCGAGGACATAGTTCTATGAAGGCATGAATTCTGGTTTTGTTCTATCAGATAGCCAGTGCTTACTCAGCAGTGGTGGCTGGCACATGGTCCTGTTGTTGAAGAAAGGCAAAGGCGATATACTTTAGGGGCCAGCCCGTGGCTCACTCGGGAGAGTGTGATGCTGATAACACCAAGGCCGTGGGTTCGGATCCCATATAGGGATGGCCGGTTGGCTCACTGGCTGAGCGTGGTGCTGACAACACCAAACCAAGGGTTGAGATCCCCTTACCGGTCATCTTTTAAAAAAAAAAAAAAGGCGATATACTTTAAAAACTTACATAATAAATTTCTTTGCTAAATCTGAGCATTAAATCTTTTTTTTTTTTTGTCCTTTTTGTGACCGGTAAGGGGAACGCAACCCTTGGCTTGGTGTTGCCCTCCCCACGCTCAGCCAGTGAGCGACCGGCCATCCCTATATAGGATCCGAACCCGCAACGGGAGCGTGCGCTCCCAGCGCTGCACTCTCCCGAGTGCGCCACGGGCTCGGCCCTGAGCATTAAATTTTTAGAAGAGGGATATGCTATGGTGGATTTCTTTTCCTGTCCATGCAGAAAAATGAAGAGCATACACTAGAACCATTCAAAATTTAGACATAAAAAAGAAACTTTGGGGTTCAGGCATAACAGGACTGCCACTGTGGTTTGCTCAGCCAACTTCACCTCTCTCCATCTTTCCCTTTTATGAACTATGTGTGCCTTAAGAAGAGAGGCTTGTTAGCTTTCCTTTGTTTCCAGAACAGTGCCAAATAGCCAGTAGGATGAAAGAATCTCTTGAGATCTAAGACCACTGTCCCAATAGCCAAATAACTTTTAATGAGCTCTCATGGGGTCCTATTATCTGTAAAATATTCTGGCAAGTTAGAGAGGAGAAAGGCAGGTCTCTGCTCTGAAGGATTTACTGCTAATAGGCCTCGAATTGCGTGGGCCAAAGGGTGATTGTGGGATATCCTACTGTCTTCATTATTTATGAAAAAATTTGTATTGTTTTTGCTTTTAGTCTCTTTTTCTATTTAGCTTCGTTGAAAAACTCACTAACTGTGGGAAAATACTTGCAAATAAAATATGGAGCTTTACAGCACAGTTTAAAAACCCTTGTTTAACTTCTGAATCTTTTCAGTAAATTAGACACATTAGCTGTGCCTACGTTGATTTTAAATGTGATAACACATATTAAAATTTTTGAAAATGTAAATATATTTTTTCAGGTTTTATTAATAGAATATATAGGTTTTAATGGTTAAGCAGCTCAGGGAAAGTTAGGTATTAAAGAAATAAATCCAAATACCTCAAAATAATTAGTTCCTTCAACTCCTAAGAAGGAGTCATGTGTCTTTACACACCTTTGTGGACAATATGAGTTTGACAAATACATAGATTGGTTGAAAAATATCTAAACCCATTACTTTTTTCTTGTAGTTTGGTGGGAAAACTTCCTTATGGTCATGTGTCTTTACACACCTTTGTGGACAATATGAGTTTGACAAATACATAGAGTGGTTGAAAAATATCTAAACCCATTACTTTTTTCTTGTAGTTTGGTGGGAAAACTTCCTTATAACTTCGGTATCCTCATCCACATCATTCTTTTCTTGTCTTCCACCTCGCCCCCCAGTGCTAAAACAACACCACTTTCTTTTCTGCTTTTCATCTGCCTTTTAACGTGTATGTTTCCTTAAGGGATGAAGAAGGCGAATGATATTAAGTAAGCAGTACCCACAACACAGTCTTCTTTGGATCTTGTACTGCTGGACATTTTTAAGTTACAGCTCTTCTAACAAGAACATAATTGTCTGGATTATAGATTTATCTGGCACCAAAAACAGCACTGCTACCCAATAGATAACTAATAGGTTGGAGTAATCTTTCTCCTCAGA